TTTGGCTACACAGGCGACTACGACTTTGCGAAAGCGGGTTTCAGTGATGACCAGGTCAAGAACCTTCATCTTGATCTTGCCAAGCTAGGGATCGTATGGCAAGTCCAGCCGATCTGGAGTCTGCAAGGTCTGAACATGGTGACGGAGCAATTTGCGAAGATGTGGCAGGACCAAGGTATCGCTGGCTACTTGAAGTCGGTGCAAGGCCCAGCTCTTAGCTCAAAACCTATGACTGATGGGTTTGAGAAGTTGAGTTATTGCGGTGGATATTTGGCGGATGCTTTCTTCGAGACGGTCGCGGGGGAGTCTATCGTAGACAGGGGCAAAGCAGCGTGATGGAAAAGACGTCGATAGCCCATATTATGAGTACACTAGCTTTAATAGTATCTCACTTTTCAATGACGTGTCATGTCCAGCCTTCGAAGGCAAACACCCCAGGAAACGAGAGTAGGTCATCAACAGCCAAATCCTCAAGCCCAGAATCTGCAATCCCGTACTCGAATGGCTGTTGCATGGCAAATGGCATCTGGAAGTTTCCGTTGATCTGCTGTAGCTGATTGTTGATGTTTTCCTCAGGTTCGTGGTGATTCGGAGCGAGCATGCCACGAATCGTTGGTAGCTGGGAAGGTTGCGCAGAGCGAGGGAAGTCTTCATTTATCATCTCATCGATCATGCGCAACACCGGACGATGCACTACTAGCGCGCGAACCTGCGGAAGGTGCTCTCGGATTGCCGTAACGGTTTTCTCTGACAGCCGAGTCGGTGGTTTGTTGGGTCGGTCGACCAGCGGGATTTCGCGCGCCAGTAGCTCGAAGACGTCTCGCAGGCATTCTGCCTTCGCCCACCTGTCTGCCATTATCGCTAGAATGTTGGAGCAGGCGCGGAGCGCGTCAGAGATATCGAGAGAGTAGTAATTGTCGGTTCTGTGTTCCGGCGGGGTAGCCCAGAAGCAGTACAAGAGTGTGATACCGGACTGGAATTGTACGAGGAGCTGCTAGGATTAGCGCATGCGTCATCGAGTGTGCGAAATTGCTTACTGCAAGCCATGGCTGAGCGATTTGACGATCAATCTGAGTCCTACGAAACATTAAGCAAGCCTGGCTGCTGGCTTGAACCGACCAATCGCCGGCAGATCCGATCACGTTGGCTTTTGTCGGTCGATAAAGCATGAGCAACGTATAGTGATAGATCATCGCTTGCCACCGTTGTGATGTGTAACCTTTTGACTGTGGATCTGAAAAGTTCTGTACCCTAGATTTGAAGTTCTCCAATTCCGCAAGTATCCTTATCCGCCAATCTGAACTGTTCTCAAATTGAGCTTGGTAATCCCATCGAAGCGTAACGGCGCTTATTTCGGATTGTATGCGCCTGCACTGCAGTATATGAAGCGCTGAGGAGTTACACGTGTAGTTCTGCGAGTCATTCAAGTCATGATTAGGCGGCGTGATGGCAGCGGCGCCTAACAGGTCATGGTCCTCGATGTTAGCGAAAGGCCTTACGGTAATCATATAGTCCGGCACAGATGGTGGAAGATCGAAGGATGACATGACCAGCCGATCAAGAAGGTATGCGCACCAAAAGCATCGCCGTCGAACTTGAATTACCAGCCGTGCATGAACGTCGGTTGATGGTGGTTCCGTCTCGCCGAGGTGTAACTGTTGCAGGACACATTGTCGTATCGCTGTGGACGCGAGAGAAATGATGCGCTCAGTAGAGCTCTGGTGTAGTGCATGCACGGACAGCAGTAGATATGCCTGCACCTGGAGAATTCTATCAGGTTGACGTAGCACAGCCGGCAGGAGTGCGATACCACTATCGTAGAATTCTCGAGCATTGAGCATTGCCGCGTATGGCTGACGCAACAGTACTAAAGCTGTCGCGTATACAAGATTGATGAAGAACCCTTGCCATGCTCGTTCTTCAAGGTCGCGGGACAAACAGTGCTTCCACTCCGAATGCCATGTGAGGAAGGTGTCCCAGTGGAAAAAGGGATACTGGGCTTGAGCGCGCTCGCGATATGTGTTGAGCAATGACTCTTCGAGTTCCGGAGAGATGCTGGCCAACAGTGTGTGCGCGCTATTCACTTCGGCCTGTGCCGGTCGTGTGGCTGTTGAGGTACGAGAAGCATCGTGAGCTGGAAACTGCGCTGAAGGTGATGCAATAAGCCCAAAGATGAGATGATTCAAGTCGGGTTCATCATCCGTGCCCGAAGCTATTGCATAACCCGAAGATGAGCCGGAAAGGATAGATGACCGCCGCGGCGGCAAGGACTGTTGAATCGAATGAGCCACTGCTCCCCCTGTGACCCCATCACCCGGTAACCCACTGCTTGCTGGGGACGTGTCATCTATGTCGTGATCAGGCCTGTTCTGGGTTCTTGCTAGATGATCAAGGCTCTGCTGCGGGTCTCGGGCCTCAAGCTCAGCAACACGCTCTTCCAGAATGCGCACATATTCGCTCTCAACATGCGGCCGAGGCGCTGGCTGCGTAGGAAGGCATTCCTCGTCTCCTTTGACACAATTCTGGCACGGGCGGCTGTCTTCGCACTTCTGTTTCCGATAGCGACATCGCTGGCAAGCTAGGGTTCGTTGCTTTTTAGCAGGCGGCTCCTGCGGAGAACTTTCTGTATCATTGTCCATCGGGTGTATTTCTCAGGCTTCGGTCCATTCTTGGATTCCGCTAGCAATGGCGGTGATGTTTGTTGCGACGGCATACTTTCACACGGTTTAGGGCGCAAGGGTTGATGACGATGCCGATTGCCGGGGACATGCGATAAGGGGGATCACGCCTTACCGGAAAGGGCGAAGCGTTCACGTGACCAGCCCTCTCCATCTCCAAGTCTGTGCCCCGCCCACATTTCTCCTGAATTAGAGCCGCTCCCGTGTCAGCTCAGCACTCAATCATGACCACCGTTGACCTGTTTCAACCCGAAGTTTACCCATCTTCTCCTTCTACGAGGCCTACTCGCCCTCTCATTATTAGAAACCCTGAATCGACGTGGTGAAGCTTCTTTCTGATAAGACTTGAGACCGTGCGGATTTGCAGCGCGTTCGTCCCACAACACCCGCACGGTCCCTGCCGAAAAAAGTGTCGATTTCGCAACACTTTCCTGAAGATGCTGCATCAAGAAGACTACGCGTGCCAACCATCTTACTTTCGGGTGCTTGCAGCTCCTGACACCATTGAAGCGTGAGGCTTGATCCTCTAGTACAACGTCGTCCATTGTATCTGGAGGCCGCGTAACTTCAGTGAAGTCTCAGCCTCCTTCTGGTCCGCTAAACAGGTTCTAAAGGCCCGAGTCGGAATCGGAAGTGGAAGCAATGATCGTAATCAATCTGTCGCGATAGCATCTGTAGCGCGTGGGTCTGTGATCAGTAGTCGCCGATATAAGATGTGCAATACCTCGATGGGTCATAAATCAACTGCTCCTCTATCACAGCCAGCCGACCGAAATCAGCCACGATGCGCTTCGAATACTCTAACTTGGCACTTTTTGCCGGTCTTTCTTGGGCAGCCTCTTTGCCAAACACTACAAAATTCGAGCGGGAGACGCGCAGCCTCGATGAAATCTACAAGGCAGCTTTGGCAGAAGGTGGCGTTGTCACTCTTTGGCATGGCGGCGATGAGAAGACTCAGCAGAACAGTCTGAAGAGTGCTTTTGAGGCACGGTTCCCTAACATGACACTCAATGTCACTGTCGACCTGTCGAAGTACCATGATGTCAACCTTGACGCACAATTGGCTGCCGACAATGTTTACGTCGACAGCATCATCCTGCAGACGCTTCACGACTACCCACGATGGAAGAAGCAAGGCGCTTTGATGAACTACGCACCATTGAACTTCGAGAAGATCTATCCTGTGTTCAAGGACGCCGAAGCGGCTTACAGTGGCCTGCTTATCTTTGATTGGGGGTATGCTATTCCTGGTAATGCCTCGACTGACATACGCTAATGAGCAACAGTATCTCTGCAAACATGAACAAGACGAGCACCATGCCGACTTCGTACCAAGACTTCACAAAGCCCGAATACAAGGACAAGATCGTTCTAACGTACCCTAACGACGACGACGCCGTTTTGTACCAGTTCGAACTGATGTACGTTCACCTCTTCGATCATCGTATGCTCATTGTCTAACATCTTGCGCAGCATCGAAGAGCTCGGTGAGGAATGGTTCGACGCCTTACTCGCCAACAACCCCCGCTGGGTGCGCGGTACTGCCACTCCCGGCACACTCATCAAGGCCGCCAACAGCAGCAGTGCGGTGACCTTTAGCTCCGGTTACTCATTCGCAGACCGACCACCAGTCAAGTACGCGCTCCCCAGCGACGCCAAATTCGTCTCTTGGGCTCAGACCGGTGCAATCCTGAAGAAAGCACCCCACCCTGAAGGCGCAAAGCTGCTCCACAGCTTCATGCTCAGCGACGAGAACCAATCTAGCCGTGGCTGGAGCGTTCGTGAGGACATTGCAGCACCAGAAGGCGCCGAGACGATCCTGCAGCAGCCCGGTACGGATGCGCCCGCGTTTGCTGAGTTCATGGCAGACCGTGGGCATGTCGAGAGGCGGAGGGACTTTTATGAAGTTAGGATTGGTACCGCGCAGGGTCTTAGCCCGCTCATCGACGACTTGTGAGCATTTTTTGGGCTTGCTAGTAGCACACGTGGGGATCAACAGTCTATGGAACAGAACATGTAGATGTTCTTTCGAAGAGTTGTACAGTCGGTTCGAGGATATCTCAGCCGGCCTGGCTGATTTGGCCGTCTCTACATACGCTTGTCCTTAAAGTCTTCATTCAATACCTCTTTCTACTCCTCAATCTTCCGTATTCCCATTTGCTCTGTCATTGGCGGTAGCCTGCCGCTTTCACACCGCGAAAGTCTCTTCTAACCTGATTTGTACAAGCGCACGGGCACCGAACTCATCTGCTCGCATCAATTTCACTGCTCTGATACTGCGCCAGCTCCCTGCAACACCTTCCAGTCACAAAGACTCTCGTCATGTCTGAATCAAAGCGGCCGGCGGCTCAGTAAGTCGTCGCATGAGCTAAAAATGCTCAGGTCCTCGAGCCGTAGTAAGGTACTGACGCGATCCTAGGCTCTTCAACAACCCCGCGCTTTCCGACGTCAAGATCAAGCAAATACACAAGGGCCAGACCCGCGAATACTATGCGCATAAGGCTGTGCTATGTCTAGAGTCAAAGTACTTTCTCAACGCCTTCACTGGTCACTTCAAGGTAAGTCAGCCAAGGTTAGAGCGTAGATCGGTTGAAAGTTCTAACGATCTGAAGGAAGCATCGGAAGGCATCATGGAATTGCATGAGGACGATCCCGAGCACTTTGAGTTCCTTCTCAAGTTCATGTACACCGGCGAGTACGACAAGAACGAGATCGCGAAGCTCGCAGGCGATGATAAGGGCAAGCGTGTTCTAGTTCCAATCGGCGTGCACGCTATCGCTGACAAGTACGACGTCGCCAAGCTCTACGAGCCAGCTGCGGAAGACGTGAAGGCTGTACTTATGGAAGCTTCCAAAGGCCAAGACATGCTCATCACTGCAATCCACGCCCACTACGGTACCGAAGTCAACGTTGATGGGGCCATGGGACGTCTCATAACTTCCGTTGTCTTCGAAAAGTACCGTAATCTCGTCAAGACGAAGGACTTTGAGCAGTTGCTGCTTGCCCATCCTACCTTCGCCGCAGATGTTGCGCTAAATTCACAGCGTAACAACGTACTGTCTGGACCAACCTTCGCCCGGTGTATTAACTGCGGCAATCAGACTGTTGACGTAGCCGGCATGCGCAGGGCAAAAAATACATACTTCAGTTGCCCTCAATGCACCAGGCAGCAGATTCTTCCAGCGGTTGGAAACAACTAGAGACACGAATTAGGGTTCGCCAGAATGGATGCAGAACTGGGCCCGAGAAACAGAAGACTCATAGCATGGAAGTGATAATAGTGCTCTAAGGGTGTCTTCGTGCGCAAAAACAGTGGAACATGCAGCGATCCCAGCCACATGCACTGTTGCTCTGTCTAGTAAAGATCGACCATTGAATCGAATGTATGACCCTTCCGTACCAGCGCAATGTGTGTCTTTTCTAGTACAATGTCTGTAGCTGCAAGGTTGCCAAATATCGACACTTCACCCATTCGACCTGTCTTTGGACCTCGATGAAATAAGTAATTCTTTGTGATGAACGCCTGAGAACAAGTGCTGTTACGGCGAGCACCGCGCAATATCGGTAAAGCGCGCACTATTAGTTTAGTAAATACATTGACAAACTCGACCCTTTTACGACATACAAAAAGAGGAAAAGCAGCATGTGACCAACTGTGAAACAACTATTTACACATCCATGCTAATGATTGATCTCATAATGCTTGAGTAGGATCTCGTCACCCTCCAGGCTGTCTTGTACCACGTGTTCAATACCCTTCTGCAGACAGGCATTCCAAAGGTCCGGGATATACACGATTCCAGGCTGACGTGCATGTAGAATATATACTGCTCGAAGGTTGGGCAGTGTCCCAATCGCCATTGCCAACCGTCGATTGGCCTCTTCTGCGAGTTGCAGGTGCCAACTACCTTCATGAGGTCGCCAAAGGTGCTCATTGCCGAGGCCCAGCAGGGTAATCGAAGTGGGTAAGCTCTCGACTATTCGAAGTGGAAATGCCATATTCGGTTCCAAGTCAACGTCTTTCGAGGTATACGTTATTGTAATAGGCGTTTCTGTGAGAATCATAGTGGGCACTACGAGAGTTTGTAGCTTCGTGAACTTGTTAAGGGTACCGACTGCGAGACTGGTACAGCTATGGTGGACGAATTGACCCACTACTTCTTTTGCGGAGAGTGAGAGATATCGCAGCGTATCTTTACTTTGAAGAAGCGCTTCGCAAATACCGCCGAAATCCAAGACCCGGGGCATGCCATCGGGTTCATCATGAGGTCTTAGATGGTCCACGCTGAAGCGGAATTCCACCAGTCGGTGACAAGGTCGTATCGTCATGATAATCTGCTCCATCGATATGTTGCAGTCAACAAGATGAAGAGTGCTGAGATTCCGGAGCCCGTCTCCTTCGAAAGCAAGTCGTAAAGCCTCAGGGCCGAGAAGGCTGCGATGTATATCATTCGGATAGCGGTGGCGGTAATGTTTCAACGCTGGAAGATAGCGAAACGTCGCGATGCATTCGTCGTATGACTCCGGCTGCGGGAACAGACAGTTCAGTCCATCAAGTTCATCAGGCTCATGAGTGACCTTGAGAATTGAACCACTGAAGATGTTAATGGTAGCGAGTTTTGCGTATTGGCCAGGTCTGCTTGATCCGAGTTCAAGACCAAGAATCCGACTTAGAGGTCCGTTGTAGGTTTCGAGCGTTAGCTCTGATACGTTTGGACTCAACCAAAGTAAGAGTGTCAACTGCGCTTTCGCCGGGGTCCCTTTGAATTCGTCGTGCCACAAACGTGCCACCTGATCGTTGTATAGGTCCTCGACCATGGCTGGAAGGCCTTCACGGATCGCTTCTCCCATTGCTAACACCAAATCTTCTCGCTTTTTAAGGCCAACCTCCTTGGATCTCCGAGCTAGTGTTTGATAACAACGTATGACTTGTATGTATTCGGCCAGGTGTGGAAGTGAGCTGATAGTCCGAATAAGTCTGGTCAATTGGCGAACGCAATCCTCTTCGCCCATTGGTATCTCCCCCTCTAGTGCGACCTTCCTTTCTTGCCTCCAGCCAACGATATGTATATCGGCATAGAGTAGAGGTGTCGCACTCTTTCGGAGTCGTTTCGTCGTTCGACAAAGACTGTGCAAAGTCCTTCTCTTCGTACGATCGTCGTCGTTGTCAATTAGCCAGTACGCGTCATCACGATCCGGCGAATTCAAAGGCCGAATGTCCGGTCGAAGATGTCCAAAGATCCTGTCGAGTATTTCGGTGGGTAATGTCGCAAGATTGAGGGCAGTTTGGTTTGGGTCATCCCCAGACATGACTACATCATCGTCCATCGGCGCGGCGCGGTAGCGAAGAGATCAGAGGTGTAGGACGGCGATAGGTGAAGAGCACACAAGCGCGGATGACTTCGGGCAACCTGGAAGATTGGAAAGGATGGAAGACGTGATGATATTCGTGATTCACAGCGGTGGAGGAGAATGCTGACACGTCGCGAGGCAGGGACGCGTGTTTGACGTGACCCGCTAAGGACCTCGGGAAGTTTATCATCGGCGGTTCTCCGGAAAACCAGGTTCTTGAACCTGTCGAAGCGCAGATACAGTTCTTGGAGGCCGCATTGTGTGTGGGGTCAGTGATTGATGTACGGTTGCCTCGCTAGGTATGCGTTGACTGAACATCGTTTCCAGAGGGGTTGAATGTTGGTGCGCGATGCTTGGCGTTATCCAAATCGGGCAACTTGTTGAAAACCATCGATTGCGGGCGTCTACGATGTTACCACCGTCATCTGAACTTTCCTCCTGCTGTACCTCGGCAACTACAATCAGTTCGGCCGACTTCACTCGACCTGCGTAAGACACCTTTCCCAGAAAACATCAAGAACAGTATATCGGCTCTAATACGGCTCATGGATCGTAGTCATATACATTTTCTTCATAACTAGAGCCTCACACGCGTACGTCGCAACGTCGGTGTTCTGACAAGAACTTTAACATCGACCAAGTACAGTGCCCGAATGTGGTGCGACATGAGAACCGACTCCGAATGACTAGGGATCTGAATATCCGTGTGCATGACCTTTCGCAGCTGTTTTTGCAGCGGTGAAGATGACATTGCACGATGTCGCATGTCTATGACCTCAAAAAGCGTTGGTTGGCTTCGGTAGATTTTGCAGATGTAAGCATGCAGCCAAGATGTAACGATATACAGAGTAACATGCCCGACGAGTGAGCAAGATCATCTAAACATCGTCAAATTCATCCCGTATCATCTCCGCTGAACATCATGGCCGTTGCGCTGAAGTCCAAGTGCAGTAACTCGGGTAATATTGAACTCGGTGTAGAGTAGACGCGTAACGCATCGCATCCCCAATTGCGTCCTACGATGGTATCAAAAGGTGTATATAAAGGCGAGAAGGATACAGGAAGATAATTCAAACACAGAACAAACTCCCACTGCCTCCCTCAGATACACCTCCTAGACTAACGAGTACATCAAACTTTCAAATCTACCTCTAACAACACACTCTAAGAATTGCGATCTCTCTTAATTTAATAAGAAGTACCTTTGCGTATATAGTAGTTATATAATTTAGAAATTATAAGTAGCTTATCTTACTCTATATTATTATAGTACTATAGATAAAATAAAAGAAAACTAAAATATTAAATTATATATACTATAGTAAGTTAATAGTTAAAAAATATATAATATATACTTTAGTATTTTTATTACTTTTATAACTTATACTATAGCTACTAATATTCTCTTTATTAATATTATAAGTATTAAGTATAGCCTTTAAGAAACGTATATACTTATTAATAATATTTTAGCTACTTCTACTTCTCTTAATTTACTTAATATTAATAAAGTAGCTAGTATATTATAAGCTAACTTCTCTACGCCTATTAGCTTTACTATTACCTAGCTTATTATTTTTATTATTACTTTACTTATAGCTTTACTTATTAGTTAAAATACTATTTATTAGTAAGAAAATTATTAAATAATAGAGTTAGTTAAATACTAGATACACAATATTAGACTATAATTAGGTATATTATTCTAAAAAGACTAGAGACAAATTGCTACTAAGCTATAATAGTAATTCTAAGGTATTTATAGCTAATACTAAGTTAGCTTAAGCTCTTTAGAGCTAGAATCTAATATTATCTTCTCTCTTAGAGTAGATTACTCTTAATCTACTTCTAAGATTATTTAATAAGCTAGATAAAGTAACTATAGTCTATAATAAGCTATTTTAGCCTATAATAGCTTATTCTAAGCTAGCGTAGGTATATTATATTTATAGAAAAGTAGAAATCTATTATAAAAAGTAGTAGTTTTAAAAAATTACGTATAAACGTATATATAAGGCTACTACTTACGCTAGTAGAGCTAGCGTAGGCCTATACACTCTAAGTATTTCTAGCTAGTTAGATTTTTCTTTTTTATTCTCTACTCTCTAATTACTTTATAATAGTAAGTATTAGCTCTTTTTACTTATTATTTCTAGAATTCTAAGAAAGTCTAAAGTAACCTATTATAGCCTATTTTAGAGTATAATAAAGTAGTTTAGTCTAAATTAGAGATTTTTAGTATAAATTATACTAAATTACTACTAACTAGCTTCTAGTACTCTAACTAAGACTATTAACGCGTACTTTATACTAATTTACTCTCTTTCTATTTATATCTACCTCTTATACTCTATATTACTTTATTTTAAGTCTTAATAGCTTTTTTTACTTTAACTTAACTATAGTTAGTAATAATTAAATTACTATAAGCTACTTTTATATACCTAGGCTTTTTAAAATTAGTTACATACTATATACTAGTTACCTATAGTTATAGAAGCTTAATAAGCTTTATATATTTAACTACTATAGCTATACTTTTCTAGTTTTTAAGACTAAAAAAGAGCGCGCTATCTTTGCTAGTATAATTAGAAAGGTTACTAGCATACTATCTAAAGATACTATTACCTAAACTATTTTATATAGCTAGTATTAAGCTATAAATAAGTAGTGCTTTACTATAAGTACCTATTTTACTCTCTTCTAGCTACTATTACCCTCTATTAGCCTCTATAAGGCTAATATATAGTAAATAACTTTAGAATAAGTAGTTTTAGTTTATTTTAGCTTATTTTAGGCCTTTTTACACTAATACTAACTAATATAGCCTCTAAAGAATTTTATTAAC